AAGCAGATCACTGAAGATAAACACATACATCCAGCTGGAGTTGAGAACGGCTTCAAAACACACAGAAACCTTAAATGTTAACAAACAGCGTTAAAAGGGGCACGGGGAAAACTCGCACAGGAAACTACGGTGACAGAGCAAAGATGACGCGATTAACTGGAGAGAAACTCAGCTCAGGTACAGCGAACAGCACAGGTTTTAACCGGTCAGAGCTGATCAGAGCACTGCGGGATGGGAAGGGTTCCCCTGCCCGTGTCCCTCGCCAGGGCTGTTTGTCTGAGCCCAGCGGGCTGAGAACACGGCCCGGGGAGCCGCGACTGCCCCGGGCAGAGCCACGGCCACCCCCGCGGCACCCAAACCGGGCCTGCTCGGGGTGCTGCCCGCCCAGCCCGCGGGCCCCGCGCAGCCCCGGCCCCGGCCCCGCGGAGGGCGGCGCTGGCGGCGGGAGGCGCTGCCGGGGCGCCCCCCGGGCCGGCGGAGCGGGCCCAGCCCGGCACACCCGCCCGGCCGCCATCGCCGCGCCCCGCCCGCTCACGGCCCCGCGGGACGAGCCCCCGCGCCCCGCCGAGAGCTCCCCGGCCGCCTCCGCTCCGCGCCGGGGCCGCTCCCGCCGCCTCCCCCCGGGCCGGGCCGGGCCTCTCCCTGCCCGGGCCATTTTGAGAGCCCGCCCCCGGCCCCGGCGCTCGCCGCCCGCTGCTCACCGCCCGCCGCCGCTGTGGGCGCGCCGCCTCCCGCTCCGCCCGGGCGCGGTGCCGGAGCCGCCGGTGCCGCTGCCGGAGCCGCCGCGCTGCTCCCGTGCCCGCCCGGCCCTGCCCGCTCAGGCCGCCATTTCCTGCCCCATTGTTACCAAGGAACGGCGCCGGAAGCGCCGCCCACACGCGGAAGTGCCGGAGAGCGCGCGCCCCCGCGCAGGCGCCGCCCCGTGGAGGGGCGGCCCCGCCCCGCCCCGCCCCGCGCGCGGCCCCGGCCCTCAGGGCTGGCCGCCATTTTAGAGGGGGCAAAGTGGAGGGGTGGGGGACACGGAGGGGCATGGTACGGGTACCTCTGAGCACACGGACCCCTGAACCACGGTCACTCCTGAGCCCACAGCCACCCCGAGCACACGGACCCCTTAAACACAGTCACCCCTGAGCCCACAGCCACTCCTGAGCACACGGACCCCTTAAACACAGTCACTCCTGAGCACACGGACCCCTTAAACACAGCCACTCCTGAGCACACGGACCCCTTAAACACAGTCACCCCTGAGCCCACAGCCACCCCGAGCACACGGACCCCTTAAACACAGTCACCCCTGAGCCCACAGCCACCCCTGAGCACACGGACCCCTTAAACACAGTCACTCCTGAGCACATGGACCCCTTAAACACAGTCACTCCTGAGCACACGTCACCCCCTCCTCAGCCCAGGGCACCCCCTCAACCCGTGGCCACCTGGGAATGGGGAGGGCAGCAAGGGCAGCAGGAGGGTCGGTGTCCCTACAGTCCTGTATCGTGGAGGCGTTTCATGTCACCTCAGGGGGATGTGTGTGTGCTGGACAGAGCTCATCCTGCTCAAGGCTGATAGTGGCCCACAGTTCCAAAAACCAAGTGAAAATTGGTAGTGCTGGTGTCTGTCAGTGGGGACATTCACTCTTCTCCCCCTCCAACCATGGACATTCCTCCCCTCTAACCATAGACATTCCTCCCCTCTGACCATGGACATTCCTCCCCTCTAACCATGGACATTCCTCCCCTCTAACCATGGATATTCCTCCCCTCTAACCATGGACACTGACTCTTCTCCCCCTCTTCCCACGGCAGGATTTCCCCTCTCACCTGGTGCTGTATATCACAGACAGCTGGCATGCCATATAAAAGCTGGGGTATTCCTGTTTTCCAATATGAGCCATAATTAATTGCATGCCAGGCTTCCCACGTTCTGCAGGGTTAAATTTGTCTGCAGTTTTTCCCCTTCTCACCACTGAAACTATCCAAGGGCAGGTGTGTTCCCTGCAGGATCAACCCATCTTCCTCATGGCATTCTGGCACAGAAGTGAAATTAGGAATCAGTGAAACAAAGTGGAAAAAAATCTTGTGCCTGAAAAGAAATAGTTAGGAGAGAAAGCACTACAGTCAGAGTTTTGAAGGCAATGGGAGTTTAAGGAGAGGGAAGGGTAAAGGCTCTGCAGACTTGTCTCCCGTAGAGGGATTCCCACTTAGTCTTGAGAGATCCCATTTTAACACCTAAAAACTCTTATCTTACAAAGGCCTTGCGAGGAAGTCATCTTCTTTTTCCAGCAATATCCCATACACAGGGAAAAAACATATCTCTGAGAATTTACACAGTTTCAGGAAGCTCACAAGGCACCTTTGTTTCTATTCATTATAATAATAGTGACATTACTCTCAAGTTGAGGGGGGTGTTGCATTTAAAAGTTGTTGAAACTGTTGTGCAGAAAAATCCAAGCCCAAATTTTAATGTAAATGAAAATTTCTCCTGTCGGACTTGAGAACTCAAAGGCAGCTGCAGTGTCCGTGCTAGAGAGGATGGGGGAGTAAAGGGCATATTTCTCACCAGTTTTACTTGCCACAGCATGGGACTGGCAAAGGAAGATTCCAAAACCATTAGTAACGGAGAGCAGAAGCACTCCCAGTTTCATCTGGAGCAGATGTGGGTTCCCAACTGTATTTTTGTTGAAATAACCACTACCTGAAGTGTGGGAGTTTATTGCAGCTGCAGAAGGACAGGTCATACTTGATACAGCATAGAGTTGGAGTGACAGAGAGGTGATACCTAATTCAGCATAAAAATTGCTTGCAGGAGGTTCACCTGCTCTGTTTTTTAAAGCAAATTGGAGTTGGGAGAGTGAGTTTAAATCAGATTAGTCCTTTGCATCATTACAGTTCGATTTACTGTAGGGTCAAACCATGACCTAACAGCTCTGGTTTGACTGTTCAATGTGAGTAAAATCTAAGAAGAAAAATTAAGGAGAGAGAATTTAATGTCACAAAGTAATTTTGCAGTATTAGTGCACCAAAATATTTGACGTAGGGAAAAGTTGCCTTGTTCCTGACCTGTGACAAATGGATCTTTTTATGTAGCAGTGCTCCTACCCCTGACGGATTCCAGAGAGGGGAAAGACCCTGTGGCTGAATGCGAAGGCACAATTTCATTTCCTACAGGCACCTTTGAGGCAGGGAAAAAAATCCATTCGGTTGTCAAACATGGCTAATTCAGGGAGCAGATGATGGGCACACAATTGATCCACTTTATCGAGGCAGTGCCGAGGGTGAGTACCGGCAATTATCCCCGCAGCTGGACTCCCTCCCAGTGCCCCCGGCGGAGCTCTAAGGGCCGGAGGGATCGGGGCGAGGGCACCGAGACACAGTGATTGTGCAAGGAAGTGAGTCCTGCCTTTCCCCCCAGCTTTTCCAGGGTGCCAGGCAAGGTCAGAGCAGGATGTAGGTGGGTTTGTTACACAGGAACCTACGCAGCGAAATGTTAGGGATTATTGAGCCCAATGGGAGGTGGAGCGTGTTCTGTTTGAGCAGAAGGATAAGATGATGCTTTATGCTCCTGGAGCAGCCTCTTGGTGTTTTATGACATCTGCCAAGTCATTTTGTTTGCCTGTTTCTTTGCCCCTCAATAAAATACCTATAATTGATTAATCTTACCAAAAGTCTCGAAAATCATCAAGTGGCAAAGAGGAATCAAACATTGTTCTTTCCTCCAGGCAGAGGTTTCCTGGTTTTCTGGGAGATGAACACCCCCAAGGTGCAGAGATGGCAGCTGGATCCTGCTCATCCTCACCTTACTGAGGGGTAAAAACTTGTAGCTGAGGTTCAGGGCAGACAGTTGAGGAAAAGTCCATCCCTCAGTGTGATTTGGTGGATTTATTCCTAAATGGCCTCACAAGAGTCAATCAGGTACAGAATGAGCTCTGATGTTTCAAAACCACTTAGTGGATTTCAGTATCCAGTTGACATTAATAACTATTAATGACCTGTGCACCCACATCTCCTTAACAGCTTTGACAAAATTAGGAGTGATATAGCAGCATATTGCAAAAAGCTTGTAGGGGAAAATGTATTTGCATAGAGAACTTTGCAGTATAGGGAAAAAATCCAAAATCTATAGAAAAAGCATGGTGTAATTCCTACTTAAGTGTTTTCAATTTGCTACTGTATGTATAGCAGAAGAGAATTACAACACTTTTCCATGGTAAGTTTAATGTCGTTTCCTTCAACGAGGGTAAATAAATTTGCTTTAAATCCCCAAGGGTTTTAAAAACTGCTTATTAGGAATGCAGTGATAGATGAGAAAAATGCTGGTTTGCTTTTTTTTTTTTCCCTCCTAAAAAGATATTAAAATAACTTATTCACAATATAGATAAGTAATAATCCAAATGCAGTGAGGTGAGGAAAATCTGAATCTCTTGGGAGCTTCTAAACCTGAAGCAAAAAAAAATTAAAAATAAAAGGCCTGCCAAACTCAGATCCTTGTATACTCAAAGTAGTGGTAGAGCTAAGAATTAAGCAGGCAGATAAAGCCAATTTTCACTGATGTTCCAGCCCAGAACAAACTGGGCAGTGTAAAGGCAGGAATTCTGACTTTCTCCACACTACCTGGTGTTAAAGCTGGGCTGGTGTTTACTTTTAAATTGACTTCGTTTTTCTGTAGCTTCCTAAAGAAAGTTGCATACAAAGAGTGTGGTAAGTGCAGGATGTGTGAAGTTCTATGGGATATGCTGGGTAAATACACTGGAAAACAGAAATTCCTCATGCTGCAGGTCACTACTGCAGGTAACAAAAGAGAGAAATATTCAGGGTTTTAACACACAAGCGGCTCTTTCAGGGGTAAAATCCATTTCCACTTTCACTGGAGTGGTCTGTAGGATGGATCTGTACCTGCATTGTGGAAAAGGCCCAAAGGATTTCTCATCCCAAGGGATGTTACTTACTTAGGTGCTGTTTCACCCACAAAATTCAGGCTATAGAAGACTAAGTAGTTAAAGCAGAGTGTGGCAGTTTAACAACCCCAAGATGGAGATGCTTGGCCATGTAACCAGAGTGCTTTGTACCTGATCCCTGTTCAGGCCAGGACTCACCTAAGTCAAGTATTTCCCCCTTTGGCCAAAAAGGTTCCCAAACACACCCTTGACAACACAACAGTAATAAAATGTAGAAAAAAACCTCTTGTAATGTCATAGAGTCACATCCAGTTGTTCTGAGACTGTCAGTCTGTTCCAAAATACTTCTGTCCAAAGTGTGTTGGTGCAACAGGATGCACTTCTGTAGTTAGAATAGTGATTTCTGGGAATTCCTGGATGATGGATTTGGCACCTTTTGAGAGACACCAAAGGTCTCAGTGTGTCATAAGTGTAGAGAACAGGCTGAGCAGGATCATGACACCTTGTTGTACATCATATTCTACAGGCACTTTGACATCCTCAATGACAGCATAACCAGTACCTACAGGGGAAAAACAGATTTTATTTTTCCCTCACGGTTGACAAACTAGTCCTTGGCCATCCAAGAATATCCATGTGCGATTGAATGACGATTCTGTCCTTTCTGCCTGGAAAACTCTCACTTCTGCTTGTATCAGTTGCAGAAAACTTGTCTCCTATTGAAGGAGCTTCATCTCTATTCTGAAAAAGCCAACTCTGCCAGGTTTTAAACACAGAAGTTGGTGGATTTTATTAAAACCCCGAGGCAAGAAAGCTCATCTAAAATAGTCAAATGGAAATCAAAAGCTCCATGGGTACAAGAGAATGAACTCTTAGACAGGAAAAGTTACCTCATCCTGACAGACTACTTACCAGATTAATTTTTTTTTTGTTAGCATTAACTTAGTTTAATTTTAAAGTAGTTTACTTCTAGTTTTATAATACTAATCCAAAAATGGTTTTTAATGGCATGAGAAAAATACTGTTTGAATCTTTTCTCATGGCAAAATTTAAAAAAAAAATCCATTTATATCAAGTCTTAATCTTCAGCCTTTCTCCCAAACACTGCCATGGCCAAAGGATTTGCTTTGCATTCCCGCTGGTGCAGCTGACTAATGTGTGTCCTGGCACAGCCTGAGAATTCCCTGCTCTGTCACCCAAACCAAGCAGAAAACCTCACCCAAGCCCCTGAAATTTGGGGGGTTTCCTTTCATCCAGGCCCTGCCCCATCAGAGGAGTCTGACTGTCCATAAAGGGGGCAGAACTCACTCAGAATTGGGTACATCAGCAGGACTTTCCTCCTGTAGATGTCTGGAGGGAACTTGGCGTAGTACACCTTGGCTCGCTGGGTCTCCTCGTCGCTCTGGATCAGGATCTTCCCGATGCGGATGGAGCGGCAGCAGTCCCGGAGCCCTTGCTCCATGGCCTCTCCTGCAGGGAGAGCAGAGCCCAGCAGCACAGGGAAACAGGTGAGAAACAGCCCCACTGCAGCCACAGGGACAGTCCCACCACCCTGAAACTGCCCCACTGCAGGGACAGGGACAGTCCCACCACCCTGAAACTGCTCCACTGCAGCCACAGGCACAGGGACAGGGACAGTCCCACCACCCTGAAACTGCCCCACTGCAGGCACAGGGACAGTCCCACCACCCTGAAACTGCCCCACTGCAGGCACAGGGACAGGGACAGTCCCTCCTCTGTGCTGGTGAACAGTTCTAAAGGGAGATTGTTTTTCCTCAGTTCTAAAAGCACTTGAAGTTCTTTTCCTTTTTTCTCTGCTGAGACAAAAATCAAATCTCTGCAGTGTTCCTAGCCCTGGCTGTTGGTGTTCCTGAGCTGTTGATGTTCCTGAGCTGTTGGTGTTCCTGAATCCCTGGTTGTTGGTGTTCCTGAGCTGTTGGTGCTCCCCCCAGCAGTGCTGAGCTCTCAGAGGGCAGAGCTGGCAGTGGCAGAACCAGCGTGTGGGGTTTGGGAATATCCATGAGCTCTGCCCGGAGCCCCCCCGGTGCAGAGTGTGGGGCAGGAGCTGTGGGACGATGGATTTGACAGCACAGGTCCCAAGGTTTGCACAGCACTGGGAAATCACTCTGCCACCACAGAGCGTGGCTGGAGTGGGACCTGGCTCTGGGCACCAGTGGGAACCAGGGCAGGGCAGTTGGCCCCTCACAGGGAGGAGAAGAGGCAGAGGAAATCCCCTGCAGCCATTTGTTGCCTAAAAAGTTAATGAAAGATACTCCTGGACATTTGTGAGCAAGGATATCTAAGAACAAAGAACAACTAGTTATAGATTCTAATAAATAATGGGTTAATAAATCATTTCCAGGAGATACTGTAACAGTAAGAGAAGTAGACTATGTCAGGTTAGCCAGATATTTTCCTTAATGTCATAGCTTATAATGATCTTGTTTTACATCATTCGTCTTTCTCAATCAAAATATGGTGAAAGTCAATATGGCAAATATTAATTAGACTGAAAACTAACTGATAGGTCTCCAAGGGTAATTATAAGCAGAAGCACCATGGAACTCGGCAGAGCTCCCTTCCTGTGGGATCTTGACCTCACACACTTAAGGTGTGATGGCTGACCTGCAAGAAAATGCCAAATCATTATTGGTGATCTGCAGCTGCACAGAAGTTGGGGCAGGTCACTGATACCAAACCTAATCTAGATCACTTAATGAGCTGAGCTTAAATAAACAACATGTTTTTCAATGCCACCAGAACTAAAGTCATTAGCCTAAGAATAGAGCAGCAGCTGGACCAAGGGCTGGGTGACAAAGTCAGGGAAAACAGTGACTCAGAAGAGGAATAATCAGCTGAAGATGAGCTCCTAATGAAATGCTCTGCCAAGAGCAATCGAAAAGGGAGGTACCAAGGAACACAACGGTCTGTGGGCTCCAGGAAAACTTCCCTGAGGGCTTGAAAGCACACCTTAGTGAGAAAACACCCAAGGAACACCGTTTACTAAGAAATAAAAGGTGAAGGGACATTTGAAATGCAGCCTCTAGGAGGGAACACGGCAGTTACCACTAAAGGCCCTGGCAGAGGTTGCCCCATCCCTGGAAGTGTTCAAGGCAAGGCCGGGTTGGACAGGGCTTGGAGCAACCTGGGCCAGTGGAAGGTGTCCCTGCCCAAGGCAGGGAGTGGAACGAGGTAATTGTTAAGATCCCTTCCAACCCAAACCAGTCTGGGATTCTGTGATTTATCTGGCAAAGTGGTGTTTGGTAGCTGGACATCAGTCCAGGTTGCTGGATATTTTAGGAATGGGGAAAACTGTACATTGAAACAATCCACGCACAACTGGCTGACTGGGACAGAGTTCTTGTCACTGAAGAATCAGTGGAAATACTTAATATTTTTTTTCCAAGGGAAGCACTTTAGTTTGAACAAGAATTAATTCAGAGGAATCTAGCAGCCTTCATTAGGCAGGAATTGGGAGCAGGTTATTAGAACAGCTCCTGCTAGATTTGTTCTGAATAAATACAGAAACTGTGTGGCTGCAGGCAGGGCCAAAGGGAGGGGTGAACCAGGCACAACCTCCCTGGCTGTGATGCCTGTGAGCTCCTAGGTGGGTGAAAAGGCCGTTTTCACCTAAACTCTCCTCCCTTCTCAGGCCCAGGCTGTAGTCAACCCTTTTCTCACATTATGAACATTATCAGTGTGAGTCACAGCTGCCCTCAGCAGCACCATCCTCAGGGCAATCAGCGTTTGCAAAACAACAGCTACCAAAACATGCCTCTGACAGTTTATTGCCGTGCCTTTTGCCATAACTCCGTGCTGGAAGAGCAGGATTAGCCACTGGGAAACTTAAACATGCTACAAAGTGAGAATACAAGCGAGTACCATCAGCTTTATTGCTGTCCCTTGGCATTTTGAAAGTATGGGGTGCCCATCAGGTCTTGGTTGTTGTTTAGGGGAAGGAAGGACTCTGGGCAGCCTTTGTCCTTTCATTCGTTTGTGTGGAGAAACCAGACTGGAGGTTTTAAGAATCAAAACCCTTAGGAGAAAAATGTGGAGAAGAAAAAGCAGGAAACACAGGTTGGGGCTGGAGGAAGAGAGATATTTCCGAGATATTTTGCTATTCAGTGTTGATGGTCACCCTCTTACGTCCAGAACACAGTTGTGATGGTCACTTCCCAATCCTTATCTCAGAGCATGATTTCTGTGTCCCCCGTGCAGCCTGGGCTGTGTCAGGGCCTGGGCACTGCTGCCTGCTCAATCACAGTGCTGGCAGGGGGGACCCGCAGTGCCTTCTGCAGAGGCTTTTTTGCAGCTGTTTCAACGGCAAATGCTAATTCCTCTCTCAATGTTTTGCTCTTTCTGGGAATTTAAAAATAACTTGCCTAATGAAGCAGTGCTGAGCAGCTCATATGTCCAGACAGATAGGAGTGAAATGCTTCAGTTCAGAAAGCAAAGCCGTCCGTGGTGGCAGTGCCTTTGAACAAGTCCCCCAAGGCCCTTTTTCAAATAATCCCAGGACTGGCTGAAATTAATGCGGGAAGAAATTCAGAGAAGGGGGGGGAGAATCACGTCAAAGAGCCTGGGACTAGGGAAGACATTTCTGGGTGAGCTGTAATCAGGCCCATCCTATGATATCCCTTTAGCAGTGCAGTTTAATTGCTCCTTTTCGGACAGGGTTTGATGTATGTGCTCTATAGCAGGGACATCCAAGAACATGAAAGGAAACTGTGGCACTTACTGAAGGCTTTGCAAAGATCAGTGAAGCTCCTTGTCCCTTGGTGGAGCAGCAAGAAGCCGAGCACAGAGTGGCAAAACTGCCTGTCCAAGGGCAGCCACAGTTTTCAGTTTCTCCCTCCAAACACCTTGTTTTGTTACTCACCTTTGGTTTTCTGTCTTCTGTAGCTGGAGATCACCATCCTGGTTGAAGTTTACCCTGCATCACCAGGGCAGGACATGTGAGAACCGTGCTGGGTGAACAGGAGCTGTAGGAATAGTAACAAAATGAGCTGGGCATGATGTGCTGGGAGGCAAAATTGCTATGGAAAGGCAGGCATGGCAGAGAGAGAGATACTTGGCTTCTTCCTCTGGGCCCAGACGGGAGGCAGAAAGCCTTCCCTGCCCACTTCTACCCACCTTAGCCTCATGCATTGATTGGCAACATTATTGTTTTCTTATTTTTTAGAATTAAATAATTCACCTTGAGGTTTCAGACTTACTTTCTGTGGGTGCCATAATACTCAGCAGAGTGTAAATGCTACTCTTTCTAATATTTCAATGATAAAACCCTCTTTTTGCCCCCTAGCTAGATGAATGATTATTACATTCTTCAAATCAATTCTAATTTTTCTTTAATTGCTTCTGATGCCCTTGGCACTGTTGAGTGACAGGGTCTGCTTTCCAGCCTCAGAGGCTGCAGGAGAGGAGATTATTGATCCTAAAAGGCTGGTGGTTTTATTTGGGGCAAAGAGGATGAGGGAAGCATCAGTTTGCCAGGCTGTTGTATTACCTATGCTAACCCTACGAAGACTCTAAGATCTCTATCATATGTTTTTATTAAATTGTTCTTAGGACATGCCAGCTCTAGAGTGCAACTCACCATTCCCTTGAGTCTTGCATCCAAAATGCCACACTGCAAAAGGATGAAATGAAGCCAGAACACGAGGATCATGTGTTGCTTTGTCTCTGTGCTCATGTCAGGGAAGTGGAGGACTTCCACCACTGGGAGGTGACTGCTAAAAATCAAGAGCCTCTCTCCCTCTATACAGAATAAGGAATTTCATCATCATCCATCATCCATCATATTTTATCCTTCATCCATCAAACAAGAACGGGGCCTGTGTGATGTCCAGAATAGTGCAGGCAATGGCACATTTCCCTTTATGAACTGTAATCTTGACCTGGTTCACAACTATAGCCCTAAAATGAAACTGGTGATTGCTCCTTGCCTGACAACACAGGTGCTGTTCTCCATAACCAGTGTGAGCCTCCATGTCAGCATGTTTCCTGTGGGACAGCATCCATCCATCTCATCAGGATTCCTGTGGGATAGCATCCATCCATCTCATCAGGTTTCCTGTGGGATAGTAAGACTTCACAGACTTGGCAATAATTGAGAGATCTGCACCTTTCTGTTCTCAAATCCCAACCCTAACTTTAAACAACCTTGACCAAAGCCTTACAGTGACTGTCTCACAACAGGAACAGTAAGAAAACTGACTCTTCAACTCCTGTTTTCAATAATCCTGGTGTCAGAACTCCAACAGAGTCTGGAATAGTTGCCAAGGGGTCATGCCAAGCACCCACCTTCAAACAGAGCCAGGTCTAAATTCAGTGGGTGCCCAGGATCCAACGTGTAGCCAGAGGCAGACTCTGTGTCCTCAAGTGATTTGGGATGATGCTAAATCCCTGACACAGCTCCAGCCACTGCTGGACAGATTCCCTGGCTGAACATGCCAGGGGCTCATCTCAAAAAGAAAGATGTGAAACAGTCTCCACAGCCAACGCTGGCGTTTTGCTTCTCTCCGATGGGAGAGGAAGGAGGGATAAATTCCTTGAAAATAATCCTCATGGTGTTAAATAACATGATTAAGCAGGCTGCCTAATTCTCCTCGCTTCTAAACTATCCTCTTTATCCCTGGGTTCAGCTCTGCCCCCTCACTGCCCTGGCCTGAGCACCCTCCTCTGCTGCAGCTCGGGGCTGCTTTGACACAGCCCCGTTTTAGCAGCTGCCTGCTGTAAAAACGTGCCCTTATCTCTCAGTCTGCAGTTTATGCTCAGTCTCTTTATTTCCCTTCATGTAATCATCAGACATTTCTGCGTTCCATCGTGATAAATACCAGACTGTTGAATCTCTGGGGCTGCCAAGAAATGCATCTCGGCACAGCACAAATAGAGCTGCTATTTTTTTTTTCGTTCCTTCCTTTAGTTTAACATTTATCCCTGCTATTGTTGTCCTAAGAAGGATAAATAAGGCTGCATCTCACTAGCCAGTTGCTCCAAATACATTAGATTAAAGAACAAATAACATGATAACCAAAGGCTATGAAGACTATATTAATATATTATATTGAGATAGTCAAGCAAAGATGTGATAATGTGCTATTCATTATACAGGTGCGCCAGTGCTCACTACAGGATAAAATTAGATTGGCTCATCTGTAGGTCATGTACCTTATACAGCTCAGAAGTGGCAGAGATTTTCTTCTGTCTGCACTGGTAGTGCACTGAAACAGGAGCACGCCAGTGCCAGCC